ACAGCAGGGGCTCAGTAGGGGCATGGATACGCTGTCAGTGGGGTACAGTAAAGGCATGGATGCACTGGCAGCGGGGGAGCGGTAGGGGCACGGATACGCTGTCAGTGGGGTACAGTAAGGGCATGGATGCACTGGCAGCGGGTGTGCGGTACAGACAGGGATATGCTGGCTTCAGAGGCGCAGAAGGGACATGGATATACCTGCGATGTGGGCACAGCTGGGGCATTTTATAAAGTAAGGGGGGGATGGGATAACTAGCTATACCCCTGGATACTCATTATGAGGGAATAATATCAATTTTTCACAAAATAACATCAAATAACAAATCTCATAATAAGAAGAATAACTAACAAAGGAAGATGAGGCACATATGAAACAGGACATAATTATATTTTTGCACTCCTTTACATAACAAAACAGCTAACGGAATACTTAATGTAAACATAATATTGTATTTTTAAAAAAACAAACATTGTAACATTGAACAATATGAAAACATTATAATGCTTATTTTCATGAATCTGAGATTGTACAGCGATTACCAGTGTTGCCCAAATGCCATATCAGTAATATTGCAAAAATGCCAGTGATGGAGGCAAGATTTTGTGCTGAAAACTCAAACGACTAATAAAGTTTTCTTGGAAAACACCCTCCCAAATCTGCTATTTCAGGCCAGCCATCATAAGTGTTAGTTGCTTTGTCATTTTTCACCATCTGTAAAAATAAAATGTTGAACAACATCAGCAGAGCAAATTCAGTAATAGTACTGGTAATAAAACAAGAATTGCCTTTTTAACTGTTAGAATACACAAGCTGCAATTTCAGCAGAAAGGTGAGCTCTAGTATTTAATATGTATCAATTGTGTAAACACTGAGGTATTCTGTTTTTGCTGTGCTATTACATGATATGTTTGTCAGTCATCAAGTATCACTGACAGGGCTATAAAAGTTTGATATTTTATCTCAATAACAATTAACCATTACACAGCAATTTCATATTTAGCTACTGTAGCTCTAGCCTTAATCCAACTTATTGCTATTTAATGAAAAAAATGTGATGCCAATAGTCTATACATTTAGCAGCAAATGTGAAAAGCTTCATGGTATATCCTCATTTGTTTGCTGCGGGTACCTTCAATATCTACTTTTTAAGATGATACAAATACTTGCTCACTACTAGCTTTCATGCTATCCATCTTCCATGACACATCAATATTTAATCATTCATCAAAAAAACATTCATAGGTGCTATGTGCTAATTTAAATATGCAAATGTACCTAATGCCTATAACATGTGCTGATTGAAGAACATGTGGGGCACTTCAGCCCCCACTCTCCCCCAGATGTTTCTATGACGAAAATAGCTATTGAGTAGTCAGAGGGGCTGTAACTAGCTGCCTCATTATCAGAACATGTTATTTTAGCATCTCCTATATCGGGATTGTGTTTCTATGATATTTAGTGTAGAGACTGTTTGAGTGGCATGATTAGAGTGCCAATAAGCTCTGCAGCTGCTTACTCATTCCTGAAGCTCTCTCAGGCTTACCTTCTCAAATGTGCTTGTGTGCTCTATTCCAGTGGCTCCTGCAAAAACCCAAGTATCCCTGAAAGACAGGGATTTGATGAGCGTGCTGCCCATCTTGGCAAAAATCTCCCGGATATTGTCTGTCATTCTGAAAAGCCAATGAAAAAAGAAAAGATTTGGGGGAAACGTCAGTGAAGTAGAGAAGGTAAAGATATCAATAAAACATGAATTACACCCCAAATCAGAAAAAGTTGGGACAGTGTGGAAAATGTGAATAAAAAAATAAAGCAGTAATTTACAAATTACTTTTATTTCATTGCAGACAGTATGAACACAAGATAATTCATGTTTTTTTTTTGTCAACATCATTTGATTTGTAAAAAAATAAATATCCATTCTTGCCATTCAGGCTTGCAACACATTCCAAAAAAAGTTGGGACAGTACAGAATTTACCACTTTGTACAGTTCCCCTGTCTTTTAACAACACTTAAAAGACGTTTAGGCATTGAAGAAAGAGTTAAGGGAAATTTGTAAATCACTGCTTTATTTTTTTATTCACATTTTACACACTGTCCCAACTTTTTCTGATTTGGGGTTGTACAACAAAAGTAAAATTTTTGTGAAAAACACACACACACACAGTCATATAATCATATCTTTTTGGGGACCACTCATTCATTTCTATGGGGAAAATGCTAATGCTAACTATGGCAACCTTAACCCCTAGCCAGCCGTAACCATAACCATAAGTAACCAAACAAAATAAAAGAGTTTTTGCATTTTTAGTTTTTTCATTGCAGTCACGGATTTTTATAAAATAGAGTTTTCCCATATGGGTACCATGAAACTGGTCCCCATAAGGTAAAAAAAGAAAACGGGCATTCATCACGATGTGGGGATATTTGGTCCCCACAAGGTAAGGTATACCTGGACCACACACACACACCCACCCCCCCCCCCAAACACAGCCTTTATGCCAGGCTATGGTGGTGAGCCTACTGCAACTAATTAAAATCTTCTAATTATAAACTTCAAAGCTACGCATTAATGTGATTCTGGGTAATGCCAAAATACTTAATTTATATACCTAACTATTGAGTTGCACCCATAAAAAATGCATGTTCTTTAAATCAATGATGTACTTTACTCCAAAAACGTTTTAGCATATAATTTTATTTTTAGCATAATATTGCCTCAGATATCAGATCTATTGCTTCAGAACTTCGACAACATTGTAAAAATCAGCCACATTCTTGTTCAATAGGATGCGGTGAAAAAATCAAAATTTCCAATAGCAATTTCCAATAGTGTGGAAAAGTTGTCACTGGACCTCGTTATTAAACGTGCAAAATATCTTTAAAATAGGTTAATATTATCAGGCCACACTTCTGAATGAGTCGTTTCCCACTTACTCATTGTCACTGACCGATTGTTAGGTTCTTGTATTAAATTGGAACAATTTTACATTGCGTCATGATATGGATGATACGTAGTGTGGATCTGCGCATTGATGTGACAGGTGAAAACTTCGATCACGTTGCGGAACCTGAAAATATTAACCTATTTCAAATTTTGGATTTTGATCTGTTCTCGAGCTAGCGATGTGCTGTTCCATACTTCATACTGATGCCGGTTGATGGCAGTGTCTATACAGTCACGCTTCTAGTCTCTGCTGCGACCGAAAGTGTAAAAATCTTATACAGTGTTTAACAACATATTGTATAGTTATTTATCTATCACAGCATTTTCATATTCGGCTTATGATATTTTCAGCTTACAGTTGGTTCATTAGAACATAACCCCATCGTAAATTGAGGAACATCTGTACTTATATTCATGAAAGTGTACAAAATGCTCTCGTATGTCTATATCTTTTCTTTTTTCTCTCCTGTTCCATGAATTTAAATGTGCTGCATTCACTTATTCAATAAACTGAAAGTTAAACCTGGAATGTGTTCATAGTTCTCATTCACTTGAAGCTGAACTTTACCATCCTAGCCTGTTTCCTTAACTGGTTTGTCCTGTCTATCTATTCAAGCATTATCACAGGCTTTGGGTATGTGTCCAGACCAGAAGTGCAAGTCGTTTCTGGTTTAAGACTTGACATCATCATCAAGTTAAAATCCTGCTTTATGGAAATGATGTTGTCCTATTGCAAGAATGCGATTGACAGGTCAATCTTTACGACATTCCTAGCCAACTGCAACACCTTCCGGAACCCCCACCTTCACCCAGTGTCAGCAGAATGTATTGTGGGGGTCCAAACCAGAATTGGCAAAATATAAAGTTGTGACTTGCTAGCTTCACAGATTTTTTTTTAAAGTATCTCTCCCTGTTAAAAACATCAGACATTATGCCATTGATTTATACCACTTGATAAAGTCGGAAAACAAGAAGAAAATGATAAATCCTTCAATGAAAAAGATTATGTCATTCGCTTTTTATCGCTAATTTACGTAAGTCCAGGGAGAACACACAACATCTTTTTTTTCTTTCCGTTATCTCAAGTTCACAAGCTAATTTTCTCAACTTTTGTTTTCTTGAGATCTTATCTTGAGATCACGACTTATTTCCCTGCTTGATCTCGTGATGGGATTAGTAATTTAATTGGTGATACAACATCATGGACCAACACATAATATTTCACTTTGATCATGAATGTCACAAGCAGAAACATGAAATATGAAACGTTTATAATCGAACTGTAAAGTTTATAGTAGAATTACGTATAATTAAGGTTTAACTGAAAATTTCACAGTTTTACTGTGAACTTTCACAGTGGATTTTTTCCCTGGGATTCTAACTTTTGATTCATAAATGAGAGGACATAACTAACTATAGACTGCTAAGTAATGATCACTACTCGTTAGAGAGTTTATAAAAGTAATGGACAGAAACAATACATTTTGACATTTTGAATAAGATTGATTGTTAACCTCCGTTATAGAGTTAGGGACTTTATTTGATGGGGAGTTTATTCGACACCATTGTCTTGTATGCTGATGCTGAGACTTTCACATGGAGCAGACAACACCTTTTGCTATGTCAAGATCACAAGAAGAATATTTTGCGATCTTAGGAAAACAACTTGTTATCTCAAGACAAATAAGTTGTGACTCCACCATCGGGAAAAGCATGTACATGAACTTGCATTGCAGTCTTCAAAAACCCCCCAAAAACTTACAGTACATACATGCAAACATAGATACATTAATCATTGACACATTGTTGTCTCTTCTGCCATTTCTTTAATTCATCTTTTAAAATGTAAATTACACAGAAATTTTGGTCTAAAATCCAGCTATAGATTAGGAAGTCTAATGAACAGTTTCTCTGGCCGTGTGTTTCATCCACAAATAGATTTATAAAGAATGTAATTATTGAATGTAATGCTGCCTGACTGCATTTTGTAACTATAATCATTGTTCACCTTGTGATGTGTAAGTACTGTAGGAATGCGGAAGCGACACTCTGTCACTGTCAAGGTAAACAAGTTTATTTGTCGATTTTTCATGGTAATCACTTACTTTGTTGCTGAGTCATCAAAAGAGGCAACCAGGACAATCATCCCAGGTTTTATTTCTACAAGAAACTGCAATAGATCCTCTGATTCTAAAATAAGCAAAACATAGACACAGTCAATTGGATTTATAATGGTTACTGAAGGTTTCTTAATACTCATAATATCACAAATATAGCTAATTTCAGCTGAAATAAATGAACTTGCTGAGATTTACTCGGTTTTCAGAAGAAAATTAACAAGAAATAAAAAAAATAAACTAGAGCTATATTTTGTGAAATAATCCTGAAGGCAGTGTACTCTATTTCATCGGGAGTGCACTCCATTGCACAGAGTGTACTCCATTGTACAGAGAGTGTACCCCATTGCACAGAGAGTGTACTCCATTGCACAGAGAGTGCACTCCATTGTACAGAGAGTGTACTCCATTGCACAGAGAGTGTACTCCATTGCACAGAGAGTGTACTCTATCTCACAGGGAGCATTACTCAGAAGTTGCTTCATATACAAGGTAGCTTACGTCCAGAGTACATGTTGAAAAAATTGGTCTTCTCAATCTTCCCACTTTCAGCTGGCAACCAAAACAAAATGCATTTGATGATCATATAGTGAAACAAGAAATGAATGAAACAGATGCTATTTAATGTGATGTGCTTGTTTCTGATTGGTACCACACTATATTCAGAATGTAACCAATTTTGAATTTTGACAGACTTTACTTGACTTTATGTCCTGATTTCCGATCCATAGAGATAAGATAATTCTTTGTTATTAACATCGGTATAAAGTACCTTCTAGAATCATACTTTATCACATCGATAAAAACTTAAAGGTTTATTGTCTTTATAATAATGTAATAAGATTAAGAAAGTAAAGTAACTAACCATCTATAACTGCAATGTTCAGTCCATGTCCAATATTGTTGTGAACACCACTCATGACCCTGGAGGAGAAAATCGGTGATATATACACATATAATACACACACACACACACACACACACACACACATACAACCAGTCCGTCTCTAAAGCCAAGAAGCCCTTAGAGTGGAAAAACGACAGTCGTCAGTGACTATTACAGTATAATTAATTAACAATAACAGTTTACATTATTCTGCTGTTTAATTCCTGCTTGTGATAAGGCGTTTTATACTGTATCACAAATAAAAATGCTTATTCACTTTAGAATTTATATAGATTTAAAACAATAATTGTATGATATTTGGTTTTGGTTCAGTCTCACTGAGCAGGTCAAAGGGACCATCAGTAAGCCCAACTGTATTTGGACTTCCACCTACTGGGCTCACTGCAATATGCACATGCCCTTGGACTCCACCAATCTGCAGTCTGTTAGTGTGATTTCCTCTGTACGAGAAGTTTAGATGACAAAAGTACTGACATTATATGCAAATGTTGAAAGCACAAGATCTTATCCTTGTTATCCATGTTTACCTGACACCCCATCCTTGGGTGACAGTGGGTTTCACAGCTGTTCCTAACCTCCAGGATTGTGTGTGTGTGTGTGTCTGTGTGTGTGTGTGTGTGTAGTTATCATGTTCTCATGGAACACATGGAATGAAGCAGTAGTCACCGATGCCAATCCAAAACAAGGAACACACACACTGTAATACACACATGAGAAGAGAGCACCCCAACATCAGCGTGGGACTCAAACTCAGCTGTGAGGTGACAGTGCCCTCGGTTGCAATTGTACAAATATATTTACTAAAAACACCCAGTGTCTGAAACTGCTGAACTACTATTACCAGATGGAACTTACACCTTTCCATCAAAACAGATTTTGGGCCCAATGGCGTTGGCGGCTCCGGTCTTGAGGTAAAACGCGAACTGGTTGGCGCTGCATGTGTCTTGTGGCGGACACTTAGGGTTGTGAGATGAAGCTGGTGGCACACAGAAACATATGTGTCACAGCGTTCCTCTGACAGGAAGGCTTTCTGTCATCAGCCTACATGGAAGCTTTAAAGAACTGTCAACAAGCAACTATGAACCAGCAGAAAATAAAGGAACCAATCAGAATATGCAAGATAACGCCTCTATTGTTTACAAATTTGGGCAAAATTGAATTGAATATTGAATCAATTTGCCATTAGAACTCGAACTAATTAAATTCTTTATACTTTACTCATAATATGATGATAAATAAAAGATGGGCCTTCATTAATTATTGCTAGTGATGAAACAGTACTGCACTTTGCTTTTAAATTAGCATAATATAATTAACCTAGTCATTATTCTTTTTGATATATTTCACAAGTAAAGATAAACACTGCTTGACCAAATGCAACAGACTATGAAGAATCTCTTTAATCAAATAAAATTAATCAGTAATGCACTTTTCCAACATATTCTGGTATGACAGGTTATTTAATTATACGAAAATATACCAATTTCACATTTGGAGCTCCATTAGCCTCTTTTGTTATACTGTGAAAGGGCATGCAGATATTTCTCAGTCATATTTTCAGTTTTTCCAAGTTCTCGAGTCTTAGTCTGTGTTAGTCTCCCTCAGGCACTGAGATGCACATCGCATGCATTGACCCTGTACTTTCTACTGCTTTTTTCAAAAGCACTAAAGAAAGCAAATTCAAAAAACACCAAAGAAGAACATTTGATGATTAGGAAGCCAAATTGTTCAACCTCAGATATAAGTTCAAGACCGCGACACACATTTAACCAAGCGAATCATAGTCATGGCTGGGTGAACACCTACTTGCATCTTTTGGTAGCCACAGAAAACAAAAACAAAACACAAACATTATAGAAAGAACGAGTATTTTCCATTAGAAATGTGATCCCTAGAATCCCCATTTCAAGCAAAGGACGGAACTGAAGTCAATAGTTTGTATAATCTGGTACAAATCTACCTAACCTACCTTGTGAGGTCACTTTATCTTGCGATGTGACTTCAGGTTTTATAAGTAAGTTGTTGGACACAGCATACCACATGAGGAGTACAACGATCAGACAAAGTCCACAACGGAGAGGATCTGCAAAAGTTAAGCAAAGACACAGCGGAGAATGCACACCAAAACACAAAAGTGAAGCAACAAAGGGACGTTGTTTTAAGTGATTCAGTGTCTTACATCTGCACCTCATCCTCGATAGCTCTCTATGACCTGTGATGGAGAGAAATCATGATTAGAACAGTACAGGATGGCAGGGAACCTGCTGGGTGGAAGATATAAGGATGGATGGATGCATTATACATTAATGATGGAGTTTATAAGTAACACAAGTCATTTTTCAAAATTAATAATTTTTTTCGACTTGTACCCTGATCGAAATCTCGGAACCCGACCTTTCCTGCTAAAAGTTATACGGGTTGAGACGCGTTCAACTCTACCAATTCGCCTTTGAACGAGTGAGTCAAGACACATCTAACTGCAACTCAACCACAAGCTCGGAACACAGCAAAACAAAACACACCTGCTAAAACTCGTATGGAACAAGACACGTCTCCCCTTCCAAGCAATAACCCTCAAAATATTACTAATAACTGCCAGTATGGCAACAGCTGACTTCAATACAGGTGAAGTGCTCATAAATGGTCATTTATTTTATGTTCATTGCTTGTGTGCTTTTTCATGTGTGTATTAGTTTTATATTTATTTTTATGCTTTTTATCATTAGATTTAAATAGGCAATCATTTGGGGGTCTGAAACAGATTGAATTACATAATTTCTTATGAGGAAATTCGACTTAGACCTCAACGAAATCGCAACTTGACCAGCCTTCTGTAACGAATTAAGTTCCTGTTCCAAGGTACCATTGTAATTTAAAAATATTAGAGCTGAATTGTATGGGCTTAGTTATACTGTTCAAGTAATTTTTTTGAAAATCATATAAAATATACAAAATAATATTTTACATCAATGATTTTTATGATATATCAATCCATCTATCTATTTTCCATACTGTATATCCACTACAGGCTTGAGGAATTTTATGTAAAATAATTTTAAGAATTTCTTTTGTATTGTACAATTTGTATTGTATTTTGTACAATTATAATACAATATAATACAATTTTACATCACATCACACAATGACCACTGTATATGAAATTCGGTAAAAGTTTCTTATAATGATTTACCTGATTCTGTCAGTCTTCCAGGGAAAGGTGTGTCTGGCTATCTGCATAGACTGAAGGTATAGTCTGTGACTAACTCACAGAGAAATATGCATGTCACACTGTAAGGGCCCACATGCATCCTGGCTTCTGAAGAAAAACGCGTTTGACCTGTCTGACGTTACAGACCCAGGATTTACAGACATTCCACACCCAGAGAACTTGTGGGACGCCCTTTATTTGCACTATTTTGTAATAGTGAAACAGATATTGGCTTGATCCGCCCACGCTTGTGCTCGTGCTCGTGCTCATAAATCCTACAGTACTTTTAGATTTTAGATCCCAAACTGCTGGACTGACTGCTCTCAGTTTTTAAAGAGCAGTCTATAGGAATGACCTCCAAACCATGAAGTGATGTGATAGATGATAAAAAAAACACTTACTGTATGATCTGTTAAATTTATAAATTATAGCAAGTTACAACATCACATACATCTTCTCATTATAGGTGTAACACTGCTAGAAAAACTACAATAAGACAAAAAAACATCTTTAATGACTCCACCATTTTTAATATTATCACCCCAATTACAATGGGGAATCACTCTGGAATTTTAAGAGCTTAAATGAAAAGCCATGCAAATGACATCATTAAAAGGCTGTGTAACTAAAGGAGCTCAGTTCATGAATGTGTCCGGAGTTTAGACACCTAAGGGAGCAGAGGAGCAGCAGAGGCAGGGGGTCAGGCAGTGGCAGGTGAGCTGGGCTCCGCTGAGGATGGACTCATTGCGGCAGGTGAGCTGGGCTCCGCTGAGGATGGTCTCATTGCGGCAGGTGAGCTGGGCTCCGCTGAGGATGGTCTCATTGCGGCAGGGGAGCTGGGCTCCGCTGAGGATGGTCTCATTGCGGCAGGGGAGCTGGGCTCCG